ATATATGTCACATATATATACTACTAGTAGTAGTAGTAGTAGTAGTATTAGTATTATTACTATTAGTTTCACGCAAAAACATGACGAAAGTGTGACAACTTTGCCGAAACATGCTGTTTGAGCTTTCACGGTGTCCGTAGTTCCCCAAACAAGCACGCCGAACAAGCGCGTGCTTTCTCAGTGCTCATAACAAGCACGCACTAATTTTGCCGCGTGGGCAGGGCGGAGCGGCAATAAGATGCAGGGGGAACCGTATATGATGGGGAAATGCGGATTGACGTAACACCGGCCCAAGATAATAAGGGGCCTTAAACAGAATCATGATTTAGCCTACGTCAACTACCTCCTACTAAGAACATCAGCATCACCAACAGTGTTAGATCTAGTGAAGTCTGTTGAAAGGGAGCCCATTAATTGGCTGAGTTTTAAATCAGTCACTGATTATTGGTTATTATTTGCTGTAATGTATTTGTGAACAAACCCAGTCACCCAGACTACAATCCAGGTGTGTGGCAGAAGGGAAATACCTAAAACATGGAGGGCAGGGGTGCGGTAAGGATCAGGGTTGAGAAACACTGTTATAGAGGCTAAACAGAAGTAGCACTTATTTAATAAAATAGCAGCAAATTTGCTTATTTCATAACATCCTTCATAACCAGTGACCAGTGATCTGTTTAAAAACTACAGTCTCAGATCAACATAGCCCTCCAGCACTGTCAGCAGCAGAAACAGAAACATTATAACTATCGGGAAAAACATAGACTAAGTTTGCTTTGCATTGCTCCCATTTGCATTGTCACATCATGACAATGATATAGTATGATCCGACTAAATATTACATTCTTGATTAATATGGGTTGTTGCTATGTTGTTACCATGTTTTAAGATCTTGTTCAACGTGCCCCTTGTTAGCTTTGAGCCCCTGCCCCTCCAAAGGTCTCTGCACGGCCCTGATCTGTATGTACAAAGGCGCACAAACAAACAGTTAGCTCTCACCTAAGGTTATTTATAATCATAAATGGTTAATGGAAATCTATATTACTTTCAATTTAAATCGGTAAAATCCTTATATACCAGACACATTTACAAAATGCTGAGAAGAAAAAGGGACACTATTTTATTGTATCTAGGAATTCAGGGAAATTAAAAAGTTTTGGAAAGCAATAAAACAAACTATAGAACATATTGTCTCAAAGGACATTGCACTATATCCATTTTTTCCTCATTCTAAGTCTGTATCCCAAAAACACTAAATGTGAACAACTATTGATATTTGTCTATTACAAGTTAAAAGACTGATAGCACTTTTCTGGAAGAGAACAACATGACCAAATATCAAGCAATGGATTAGACAAATGCTGAAGACTTTACCCTTGGAACACATAACATATCTCCAAAAAGGGAAAAGGCAAGGCAAGGCAAGGCAATTTTATTTATATAGCACTTTAAAACAGTACCACTGACCAAAGTGCTGTACAATCACAAAATTAATCAAATAAATTAAAACACACTATAACCAACAATACAGTGACTTAAAACACCCTATACAATACATAAACATACCCAGATAAATACAGGAAAGCAGCAGCTCAAACTGAATCAAAGGCCAACCGAAAAAGGTAAGTCTTAAGAGCAGATTTAAAAATTGCTAAAGAAGAGGCCTGTTTTACCGACATAGGTAAAGAATTCCAAAGTTTAGGAGCTGCAACAGCAAACGCCCTGTCTCCTCTCTGCCTCCTCGAAGTCCTCGGCACCTCCAGGTTCATTTGGCTCGCTGATCTAAGAGCTCGAGGAGGACAGGATATATGTAGCAGCTCAGAGAGATAGGAGGGAGCAAGGCCATTTAAAGATTTAAATACAAATAAAAGAATCTTAAAATGCACTCTAAAATGTACCGGCAGCCAGTGCAGAGAGTATAAAATCTCAACAAATTTTGACATACCTGCCATATAACCAATACAGTCAACAAGAACAACAAATGCCCTCTTTGATGCACATTTGCATAAATTCTTTTAAATATACAGGAGTTGTATCTAGGAATTCAGGGAAATTAAAAAGTTTTGGAAAGCGAGTTATTTGAAAGCGTTTACAAACCCCTCCAGACTTTTGTTGAAGGTGTGGCCTTGTGTCAAGAGAAGGAAGCCAACTAAAGACAAAAATATCATAAGACCATGATGTTAAGAAGTATCTACAATGGATTATCATCTCCTGTATATTTAAAAGAATTTATGCAAATGTGCATCAAAGAGGGCATTTGTTGTTCTTGTTGACTGTATTGGTTATATGGCAGGTATGTCAAAATTTGTTGAAAAATGCAATAAAAATATTAATGGAGGAAAAAAATTGGGAGGCTGTGGTTGCACAAAAAGTTGATTGTCAACAGATCAAGAAACTGACAGACTCCATGACTGGAAGGCTTATAACCATTCTTGAAAAGAAGGGTGGCTATATTAGTCATTGATGTATTTTTTAATATGTTTGTCAATTTTGAGATGTATGTTTATTATTTTCACTTCAACATATGATAATAAATAAATGAGATGTGAAAATTTTCAGTTTTAATTTAGTTGCATAATATTTCTGCACCGTAATAGTTGATTACCGTAATCACAATAATAATGCACACACAGATATTTTACTAAGAAAACCAAAATCTTTGGATTGACCAAAGGTTATTGACTAAATAACCTTTGGTCATTTCAAAGATTATTAACATTTTGGATTGATCGAGAGCGCTGCAGTTTTGTTCAACAATAAAATGAATCCTCAAAACTAAAACTACAACTTGCTTAATAATAAGCGGCCCTCTTAAGTTCTCAATAGGGTCATCAGTTGAATACCTGGGCTTGTCAATCTTGCATACACATGGCTGTTTTAGGTATTCGTGTTGCACAGTCCCTTATTCAAATTAAATCATTTATTAGGTTTTATTGGACTTAAAACTTTTCCTTGCATACAATTTCTCCACAGATAAGTTTTATTTTAGCTTATCTGTTGCTTTCTGCAGGGCATTTGTCAGTCAGAGTGAAGCCACGATGCATCTTCCTGCAGATGTTGGTGAGTATTTACTGTTTTTTTTTTTTTTTGAAAAATCTTCAACAAAATGCATACATCTGCACAAAGATATTTCACCTTCTTGTTATCACCTCAACAGCAAAATGTCTCATTAATAATCAATGGCTTACATTTGCAGACCTGTTCTTATTTGATGGCATGAACAGTAGGTATAATCACATCTCCAGTTGGGTCAGAGGGGTATCTCTACCTCTCTCTTCACATTAGCAATGTACTAGCTCAATTTAGATCAGTTTTAATATGATCTAATATGAGCACTACATATTAGATCATATATTCAGGATTCCATACTGAATAAAGAAATATTCAGTATGTTACAGTTTTATTTCTAAATGTCTTACAATGATCTCTGTCCTCTACACTCTTAGTCATAAATTGGATTGAATTTATGGCTAAATTCAATCCAATTCAGTTCATTATTGTGATGGAGACCAGGGGCTCCATTACTAATAAAGGGATGCTGATATTATGTTGTTTAGTTTATTTACAGTCCAAATGTTTCCTGTTTCAGTTATTTATTTTAGCCTCATTGTGACATTTAATTTAACATTTTTTAAGGTAGGGAAACTGGCCACCTTTCCTGTTCAGGGAGAATGTGAGGGGAAATGTCAGTTTGTTTCTGATAACTTTTATGGGTTTAATTTGAGTTTGCTAATTGAGTGTTTGCCTTTCCTGGTGTGTCTCCCCAGCAGGGTAGAGCAGCAAAGAGAGACAAATGTGACAGGTGCTGCTGAAAAGCTCCTGGAGCATACCATGTCAATTAAGAGGGGTAATGCTCTGAGGAGTTGTATTAAGTTAAACGTATTCTTTGATTGACCTTATATTAGTTTGGTTCTAATGATTTGAATGCATGTAAATATTGGTACCATTTATTGTTTTGTGTTAGGTCTGTGTAAATAATGTTTATTTCTTGTTTTGTTTTTGACAACTCCTTTATTTGGTATGAATGGTGAATTTGCCTCAGGTATCTTTGGCCCAGTCCCAATGATCAATGCGCACGCAAACACCCCTCTGTGAAGTGTGGATTCAATGAAGTGCACATAAGGGTTTGAATGCGCAGGTTTACAAGCGTGCAAAAATGTGAGAATTGGGACAGTATGCCACTGTGTCACAACTTCAACATCCAAAATGGTGGGATTAGTCGCTGTTCAGGACTTTGTGCTGCTTAAAAGTACAACTACAGCAAAACAAATTATTTTAAATGTACAGTAAAGGTATTTTTGATTTTCTAAGATCAAAGTGCTGATTTTAAGAATTAAGAAACTTAAAGAGTATAGCTGAACATTTTCAATACGAACGCATTTCATTCCAGACATTTTCTAATTAATGTTATACTAGTTTTGATTATATGCTTGACTAACTGATGTTACAGTTTAACATGAGTTAAGCTATTCATATGAGACTACAAGCTAGACTAGTTCAAATCATGTTAACTTTAACTAAATTGTGTTCTACTAATTAAATTGCAATTATTAAAAGTATTATGTGTTCTTAGTTTGTGTTTCCTTAAGTTTTTAGTGTTTTCCTCTCCCTGTGGGAGATAACTTGTCATATCTCTGCTGCCTGCTCGACTGAGACACTGCCTGTGTGCCAGAGTTAATTTATGGCGTGGTTCCTCCCTGATAACAGACAGTCCCTCCTGCAGGCCCTCTAAGATGTTATTCAATCCACTATTTTCGCATGCTCTACAATTAACTGTATTAATACTAAGAATGATCAAATTTGTGTCCTCAACACAATCCACATTCTCAGGGGAGAAAGACTCACCTGGTATAAATTAAATTTTTAGCTATTCGAGTAAGGCTTAAGAAAAATTTATTTAATCAAAGAATGTCATGAATATGTGTGTAGGGCTGCACTGATTGCAGTTTTCTGGCCGATTCCTGGTTACCAATCAATAAAACGCCTGACCTGCCGATTTTGATTTTGGCTGATATGAATTGTTTTTGTCTGAAATGTCGCTAAATATAGCAAGAAAGTCACTGAGTTGGCAACAGTGGGGTGAATATAGTTAACTATAAACATGCAGACCTGACCTTGTGGGCCAGTCTGTCAGTCAAACCTCTCACTGTAGAGTAGAAGAGGACAGAGACTGATTTTTAAACCTTTGCTGACGAAGATAAGATTAGGGAATAAGATGGGCTTCACATGTAAGTATCGGCCAATCACGATCCTCCAAAATTAAGGAAATCGGCGCCCAGAAGTCAAGTGGTTGATAAATCAGTTGGCCAATAAATGTATCCATACATACATACATACATACATGTATATAATGTAAACAGCATTGCCAGAGATGCAATAAGTTTATAGCAGGTTGTCATAATCCGTGTTTCTGTGTATTTATTTTAAGGTTTTTCTGTCCTGAGTCTCTGTTGTTTCTGCATCTTCCCCGTTGATTGCTTCCCAGGTGTGTCTAGTTACCTGATTACCCCGTGTGTATTTAAGTCCACCTGTTGTTTCTGTCTCTTGTCGGGTTCTCGTCTTATGTCAGTTGTTGTCTACTGCGTGCTTGCCAGTTGGTTAGCTTAGCTCTCGTTATTCAGTCTTCAGTTGCTACCGGTATTAGCTGTATGCTAACTGTGCTGCCTGTCATCCTGGACTGAGCTTTTGTTCATCAATAAATCACCATTTTCATCTACATCCTGGGTCTACCTGCGTCTCTTCTCTCCACCGCAAACCCCACTCCCTGACACAGGTGTGTGAGTGGCCTAATGATCGGACTGCTGATTGCAGTCAGTCCACATTGTTAGCAGAACTAGAGGGCTCCAAAACCAAATTTTGCTTAGGGCCCCATGGAGGCTTCGGCCGGCCCTGATCATCATATTCGTTCACCGGCCCGAGAGTCCGGAAGATGCGCCGTCCGTCACTTCACAGGTTGTAGATGAGAATAGCCGTTAGCCTAGCATTGCTAGCATCAGCTAGCCTGGTAGCTGTTAAGAACATCTCAAAAGACTATCCAAGGGACCATGGGATCAGTGGCTCGCCTTGGCAAAGAGAGGAGTGGAGGCAGAGGTGAAAAAGAAACTCCATCTTTGTTGCCATTAATATGTCCAGGAATGCGCCAACAATGACTGTTTACAGTTGTAACCTTCCGTCACAACAGCATAAACAACTCAACTCACTTACAGCAGTTGTTTTTTTACTTAAAGGAAAATTTCAAGGTGCACACAATGGGTACAGCAGTATCACTGCACGTGCACAAAGTCATTTACACATTGTAGTCAACAATTTATCGACATACTTCCCAGGTGCCGTAAAAAATTTTATTTAATCTTGATGTGTTTTCATGTCAGTTCTACATAAATAAGAATGTGGAACAAAAAAGAATAACATGAATGAATCCACTATCAGACTAACATGTTATAATATTGATTTATACTGTTCTTTTATTATTTGGTTAAACTTGTTTATTTGAGCAAGTGACAGGTATAACTAAAACGTTTTTTTTTTTTGTAAGAATGGTTTGGAAATGTATATTTTGTATTAATTATACATTCAATTGATCCACTGTTGCTTGCTATTGTAGCAGCAGTTTTTTTCTTTGGTATCATGTGCTTCAATTACTTATAATCCTTAATCAGAATATGTTGCTCGTTTGGTGTGAGGGATGGCGTACACAATTTATCTAGCATAGCATCAGTTAATCTGTGATTGCTTTCATGGTCTGCTGAAGAAATCTGTTGACACGCATTGAACTGAATTACTTCAGCTTGGCTCAACATAGTCTCACCCTACGGTCGCACCTCCTGAGCCCATTTTCATCTTTGTGAAATGAATAAAGCCAGGATGAACTGATGGCGCTATGTCAAGCCTGGCTTTATCTCTTATCCTGGATTTTGTAATACTACTTTTGTAAAACAGCCCTCAGGATAGCAGATTAAACTGGGATTTTCAGAATATTCTTACTTAATTAGGTTTCGATTCGGTTTCACAACAGTGGGAAGACATAAGTTATCATGCCGATTTATCCTGTGCAGCTGTTCCTGCTAGTTAAGCCTGGAGCCTTATCTGTTAAGTCACCGGCCATGCTGATTAGAAACCTAGGTGTTTTCTCCATGACTTACTTGTCTGCTTGTTTCTGTCTTTTTAACTCTCTGCATCAAAATAACACTAATTATTTATGGTATTCTATCAAGTACTATTATGATTTTAACATTGTAATGTTAGAAAATACCATTATCAATTTTAAAATGACCCATACAGACTATGTTACTGTTAGATTGTGTTTCTGTTAGATTGTGTTTTTGTTCTAGTTTTATGGAAAGGCCTTTAATAAATATTAAAGGCATTTAATAGACCATCTGTCTAGGTTGAGGGAGCTAGACAAATGGGTCATAAAGCAACAAATGTATGGTAATTAAGTCAAGCCATATAATTAAACAAATGTCCAGTTTAAATAACAGAACATTTAAAATAGTCACTCTATTAGGTACAACTAGCTAGTACTGAGTTGGGCCCCATTTTGCCTTCAGAACTGCCTAGATTCAACAAGGTATTGGAAACATTCCTCAGAGAGTCTGGTCCATATTGACATGAAAGCATCACACAGTTGCTGCAGATTTGTTTGCTGCACATCCATAATGCGAATCTCCCATTACACCACATCCCAAAGGTACTGTATTGGATTGAGATCTGGTGACTGTGGAAGAATTTGAGTCCAGTGAACTCATTGTCGTGTTCAGGAAACCAGTCTGAGATGATTTGCATTTTATGACATGGTACGTTATCCTGCTTGAAGTAGCCATCAGAAGATTGGTACACTGTACTTATTAGTACCATTTGAGCATCATGTCAACGCCACAGCCTGCCTGAGTGTTGTTGCTGACCATGTCCATCCCTTATGACCACTGTGTACCAGTATGCCAGGAAAATATCCCCCACACCATTGCACCACCACCACCAGCCTGAACCATTGACACAAGGCAGGACTGAGCCAGGCTTTCATGTTTTGACGCCAAATTCTGACTCCATTGTCTGAATGTCGCAGCAAAAATCGAGACTCATCAGACCAGGCAACGTTTTTGCAATCTTCTATTGTCCAATTTTGGTGAGCCTGTGCAAATTGTAGCCGCAGTTTCCTGTTCTCAGCTGACAGGAGTGGTACACAGTGTAGTCCATCTGCCTCAAGGTTTGACGTGTTGTGCATTCAGAGATGCTCTTCTGCATACCTCGGTTGTAACGAGAGGTTATTTAAGTTACTGTTGCCATTCTATCAGCTTGAACCAGTCTGGCCATTCTCCTCTGACCTCTGGGATCAACAAGGCATTTACGCCCACAGAATTGACGCTCACTGGATATTTTCTCTTTTTCGGACCATTCTCTGTAAACCCTAGAAAATCTAGTGTACGTGAAAATCCAGTAGATCAGCAGTTTCCGAAATACTCAAACCAGGTTAAGGTTGTTTATTTGAGCAAATGACAAGTATGACGGGTTGTTGTTTTCAGTTAAGAATGGCTAAGAAATTTATATTTTAGGCTAATTACACATTTAATCTATCTCCTATTCTTTGCTATTGTGGTAGCAGTTTTTTTTCTTTAGTATGTTGCGCTTCAATTCCTCATAATCCTAAATCAAAAGATGTGTGATTGGTGTGCAGTATAGTGTACGCAGTTTATCTAGCATAGAATCAATGAGTCTGTGATCGATCTCATGGTCTGCCGAAGAAATCTGTTGACTTGCATTCGCCTAAATTATTTGAGTTTGGCTCGACATAGTCACACCTCTTGAGCCTGGTTTGGTCTTTGTGAATTTGATAAAAGCAGGATGAACTGATGGCGCTATGTCCAGCCTGGCTTTGTCTCTTATCCTGGATTTTGTAATCCTACTTTTGTGAAACAGCCCTCAGTTACACAAAAGAGAATAATTGTAAAACAGTTATTCTCTTTTACAATACTGTATGCTGCATTTATGGTTGTGCAACTCTGTTTTTTCCTTTTTCTTGTTTATTAGATAATTGGTTTTGAGGTACTTTTTTCAGTATTCCAGTTTCATTTTGTCATAGCTCATTCACTAATCTGATTTGATTCCCATTTTATTCTTCTACATATTCCTTTTGTCTTGTCAGTAGTTAGATTACATGCCAGTAGTTAATGAAAGAGATAAATTACAGAATGTTTCAGCTGTAAAGAATTTACATTTTATGAATAATCTAATAATAAATGATTGATTATAATTATTAATAATTACATAAGCCTAATATTAATGTGAATTCTGATTCCCAAAAGAAGACAGAGAAGAATGCACAAGAAGAAACTGATGAAGTGATATAGAATTATTTTTGATGTTCATGAAAGGAAAACGGTAATTGCAGGAAAGGGAAAACGATTTGCTGATGGCAACATTATCTCAGCTGGTGCCCCCTCCAGGAACGAATCACAGCTAAACAGAATGTCAGACCAGGTGTAGCTTCTATGGAAAGAAAAGTAACTGAGAGAAAGCAAAACTTTAATAGTTGAATTAGTGGGAAATAATGCAAATTGTAGAGGAGTAGAATAAGAACATGAGAAAAAGTGGTCATTTTGTCTTTCAGTAGCCTAAGCCTATCGGAGAATGACAGGATAACCTAAGCCAGTCTCACTATAAACTTTAAAAGGAAGTTTATAGTGAGAATATGGAAAGATTTTTTGGAGGGTTTTACAAATGAATTAAAAATAGAAATCCACTTCTGTGTGTTTCACAGGTGATTACACTGATTTCTACTCCTCCAAGGATCACGCCACTAATGTCGGCATCATGTTTCGAGGAAAAGAGAATGCTTTGATGCCAAACTGGTACATGCCATGCTAATATCTAGAGCAACAAACCAAATTAATAATAAAATTTCATGAATAATATTTAAAGATAGAAAGTCAGCCTAAGTCCTGCAGATGTCATTATGCTCATGTAAAAGAAATTAATTTATTTATGTTGTTCAAGGATTTTCATGTTTACACGTTTTTCAAGACGACAGCTTGATAACGGAGGGTTGCATGTTTTCAATTTACTAAATTAGAAACAGGAATAAATAACATTATTATGGTTTAACATGTGATTATCACTTTTTATTGATACTGAAACATTTGATTTAAAAACTTTGTACCAAGTTTAAGTAAATTTATAGAAAGTTCTAGCCATCAGTTTTCCAGTTCGGTAAGTTTGTGCAAAAACACAACCCAAATTGTTGTTTGTGTGGTTTTGTTGTTTAAAACTGGGTTATGATGTTTGGCAGGTTGAGGCTTCCAGTGGGATACCATGGCAGAGCATCATCACTGGTTGTGTCTGGAACCCCAATTCACCGCCCTTGTGGCCAGATGAGGCCTGATCAAAGTAATCTCCTAATGTTTGCCAGTGTTGGGTATCATTAATGTCCTTTTTAATTTAATTACGAATTACACATTTTTGTGTTACTCATTAATTGAAACAGACAAACCTATTTTGAAGATGGTTTTTCAAATACTGTTTCACATCTTCTTCTCTTCATATCAAAAAGTATAAGTTTAACTAGTGACCTGAGTAGAGCATAAAACCAACCTGAAGATATTTTGACATAGTAGAGACTACCTAGACCAGGGGTCACCAACCTTTTTGAGACTGGGACCTGCCTCACGAGTACAGAGTAACATGAAGGACTACTTGTTTGATACAGACATAAATTATATTGGCTCAGCCAGCCTTTATAACAATAATACATGTGATTACATGCTGCCTGATCATATTAATGTTAGGGACTACTCACAACAGTTATCAGTAATGATTTACCATGGCAACAATGGTTAATTCCTATTATGTGATCACAGAGTTTAAAGTTTGATTCCCTTTTGGAGCTCTTCTGTGTGATTCTAAATTTCCCACAAGTGACTAAGAGTATGGATTGTTGCAATAGCATCTGCAGCTGTACGGGAGGATCAAACTCTGCTCATTCACCTCTAGCTTACAGAAAAAGCACCAAGCCGCCAAATAAACAAAAGTAAACTGAGCAATAAGATTTAGGCTTTGGCGTGCCCACCCCCACAGACTTGCTACATACAAGATGTTTTGACACAAAAGATCTGCTTTTCTCCACAATTTTATTAACAATAAAAGGGTTGGATAATACAAATTCCAGAAATTATTTTCTTTTTTTACTCTGCATACCTTGAGATGCATACCTGCATCTCAAGGTATGCAGAGTGGGTACTCCGTTAGCTGCAGGCGCTACTGCCTTCCGATAATGTTCTGCAGGCATCTGAGCATAATTCTGAACTTTAACTGTAGAAAAGAGTTTTATATATACAGCAATTTATTGTAAATGTTTTTATAATTGACTTTTTTTTTATCTAAATATAAACAAATGTTACTTCAATGTAAAAACATTTAATATGTATATATTTTTTTTCTTGGCAGTGCTCCTTAATGACAATGGCTATTTTTAGAACTTGCTCTGGGGGCGACTGACAATGTCCCCTCAGGCGACTAGGTGCCCGCGGACACCATTTTGGTGACCCCTGACCTAGACTTTATTGTCAGAGGGACTTCTTTTTTTCCTCTTGGCTTTTCCCTTGAGGGAATCTATCTCAGCTTGGCTTCTCGGACTTTATCTCCCATGCATCTTACATGAGCTATTCCTCTGATGTATTAATTTCTGATCTTATCCATTGTTGAGGTTCTCCTTGGGAGTGACATGTCCTTCTCTGCTACTTACAACTCTGCTCCCTGCCTCTTTGTCGTTGCCACTGTCTCTAAACCAAACAGCATTGCAGGTCACACCACCATCTTGTACACCTTTCCTTTCATCCTTTCTGATACTCTTTTATCACACAGCACACCTGACACTTTTCTCCACCCATTCCAACCTGGGTGGGCACGTTTCTTTACTTCTTTTTCATGCTCCAACTACTTAAAATCCTTCACCTTCTTATCTCTGTTCTCTGTAACCTCATGTCCACTTGAGTCCCTCTCATTCACACACGTATTCTGTCTTGCTATATCTAACCTACATTTCTCTCCTTTCCAGGGCAAACCTTCATCTCTCAAGATTTTCCTCCACCTGTTCTGTGCTCTCTGTAAACTATGATGTTTACAGATGTTTGCAGTGTCATCTGTAAACATCATAGTGTATGGAGATTCCTGTCTAACCTCATTTGTCAACCTGTCCATCACCACATAAACAAGAAAGGGCTCAGTGCTGTTCCTCGGTGAAATTCCACTTACACCGTGAACTCCTTTTTGTCACTCCAAAGCACATCTCACCACAGTCTTACAGCTCTCATACATAACACATCCTGCACCACTCTAACATAGTTCTCTGCTACTCAAATTCAAATACAAAATTACTTTAGTGATCCAAAGGGAAGTTAAATGTTGTAACTCATATTAATTCATATGACTTAGTGTAGATAGTATAGCTGTTGGCAGGAAAGATCTCTTGTAGCGGTCTGTATTACAGCAAATCTGAAGAAGTGTTTGACTGAAGATACTCTGTTTTCCCAAGACAGGGTTGTCCATAACTTTCTTGGTTTCATGAAGAATCATCATCTTCATAGGCTCCACAGTCGTACCCAGAACAGAACCAGCCTTCTTTATCAGGCTGTTAAGCCATTTTAGGTCCCTGGTTCTGAGGCTGCTGCCCCAACTGCAGAAGATATGACACTCTCAACAACAGACTTATAGAAGATCTGCATCATCTTGCTGCAAACCTTGAATGATCTTAGTTTCCTCAAGAAGTCCAGTCTGCTTTGTCCCTACTTATAGACACTTCACTGTTGCATCTCCAATCCAATCTGTTGTCCAGATGAACACCGAGGAATTTATATTCCTCAACCACCTCCACTTCTTCTCCCATGATGGAAATAGGGTTTGATCTAACCCTATTTCTACTGAAATATCTAGACTTTCTTATGCAGTGCCATAACTCCCACCTTGGAATACAGTCATATGCTTTCTCTAGATCTATAAAAACACAATGCAGCACTGTATGACATTCTCTGAACTTCTCTATCAAAATCTGCAAAGACTGAATCTGTAGTACATTTTTCTCACATAAAACCATATTGCTGCTTATAGATGCCCACTTCTGACCTCAGTGTAACTTCAAAAACTTTTTCCCATAACTTCATTGAATTTATCTACTNCTGCTTAAAAGTACAACTACAGCAAAACAAATTATTTTAAATGTACAGTAAAGGTATTTTTGATTTTCTAAGATCAAAGTGCTGATTTTAAGAATTAAGAAACTTAAAGAGTATAGCTGAACATTTTCAATACGAACGCATTTCATTCCAGACATTTTCTAATTAATGTTATACTAGTTTTGATTATATGCTTGACTAACTGATGTTACAGTTTAACATGAGTTAAGCTATTCATATGAGACTACAAGCTAGACTAGTTCAAATCATGTTAACTTTAACTAAATTGTGTTCTACTAATTAAATTGCAATTATTAAAAGTATTATGTGTTCTTAGTTTGTGTTTCCTTAAGTTTTTAGTGTTTTCCTCTCCCTGTGGGAGATAACTTGTCATATCTCTGCTGCCTGCTCGACTGAGACACTGCCTGTGTGCCAGAGTTAATTTATGGCGTGGTTCCTCCCTGATAACAGACAGTCCCTCCTGCAGGCCCTCTAAGATGTTATTCAATCCACTATTTTCGCATGCTCTACAATTAACTGTATTAATACTAAGAATGATCAAATTTGTGTCCTCAACACAATCCACATTCTCAGGGGAGAAAGACTCACCTGGTATAAATTAAATTTTTAGCTATTCGAGTAAGGCTTAAGAAAAATTTATTTAATCAAAGAATGTCATGAATATGTGTGTAGGGCTGCACTGATTGCAGTTTTCTGGCCGATTCCTGGTTACCAATCAATAAAACGCCTGACCTGCCGATTTTGATTTTGGCTGATATGAATTGTTTTTGTCTGAAATGTCGCTAAATATAGCAAGAAAGTCACTGAGTTGGCAACAGTGGGGTGAATATAGTTAACTATAAACATGCAGACCTGACCTTGTGGGCCAGTCTGTCAGTCAAACCTCTCACTGTAGAGTAGAAGAGGACAGAGACTGATTTTTAAACCTTTGCTGACGAAGATAAGATTAGGGAATAAGATGGGCTTCACATGTAAGTATCGGCCAATCACGATCCTCCAAAATTAAGGAAATCGGCGCCCAGAAGTCAAGTGGTTGATAAATCAGTTGGCCAATAAATGTATCCATACATACATACATACATACATGTATATAATGTAAACAGCATTGCCAGAGATGCAATAAGTTTATAGCAGGTTGTCATAATCCGTGTTTCTGTGTATTTATTTTAAGGTTTTTCTGTCCTGAGTCTCTGTTGTTTCTGCATCTTCCCCGTTGATTGCTTCCCAGGTGTGTCTAGTTACCTGATTACCCCGTGTGTATTTAAGTCCACCTGTTGTTTCTGTCTCTTGTCGGGTTCTCGTCTTATGTCAGTTGTTGTCTACTGCGTGCTTGCCAGTTGGTTAGCTTAGCTCTCGTTATTCAGTCTTCAGTTGCTACCGGTATTAGCTGTATGCTAACCTCTCTGCTGTGCTGCCTGTCATCCTGGACTGAGCTTTTGTTCATCAATAAATCACCATTTTCATCTACATCCTGGGTCTACCTGCGTCTCTTCTCTCCACCGCAAACCCCACTCCCTGACACAGGTGTGTGAGTGGCCTAATGATCGGACTGCTGATTGCAGTCAGTCCACATTGTTAGCAGAACTAGAGGGCTCCAAAACCAAATTTTGCTTAGGGCCCCATGGAGGCTTCGGCCGGCCCTGATCATCATATTCGTTCACCGGCCCGAGAGTCCGGAAGATGCGCCGTCCGTCACTTCACAGGTTGTAGATGAGAATAGCCGTTAGCCTAGCATTGCTAGCATCAGCTAGCCTGGTAGCTGTTAAGAACATCTCAAAAGACTATCCAAGGGACCATGGGATCAGTGGCTCGCCTTGGCAAAGAGAGGAGTGGAGGCAGAGGTGAAAAAGAAACTCCATCTTTGTTGCCATTAATATGTCCAGGAATGCGCCAACAATGACTGTTTACAGTTGTAACCTTCCGTCACAACAGCATAAACAACTCAACTCACTTACAGCAGTTGTTTTTTTACTTAAAGGAAAATTTCAAGGTGCACACAATGGGTACAGCAGTATCACTGCACGTGCACAAAGTCATTTACACATTGTAGTCAACAATTTATCGACATACTTCCCAGGTGCCGTAAAAAATTTTATTTAATCTTGATGTGTTTTCATGTCAGTTCTACATAAATAAGAATGTGGAACAAAAAAGAATAACATGAATGAATCCACTATCAGACTAACATGTTATAATATTGATTTATACTGTTCTTTTATTATTTGGTTAAACTTGTTTATTTGAGCAAGTGA